AGTGCATTTCTATTTTTACCCTCATTTCTGTGTTAACGTGCCACCCCAGAATTATTCATATCTTGAGGGCGAATAAACCTGCTAGAAAACAATTTTTAAAAGACAACTCACCAGACAGTGCACAGTGAATAATCTAAAATCAGTTTTTCAGTCCTTAGCTCGTCCTTACCTGGAAAATCAGATCCAGCTATAGGTTTATATAATTCCAAAATGGCGCGTTACAAACTCAATTTTCAAGTGGCATTTTACAAGATCAACCTGAAATTAATCCGAATACCTCATTGTACCTTCATCCCACCTAAAAATCTATACAGTTTGTTCCACTTTATTTCCATTTTAACTCCCCGGCTATTTTTAAAGGGACGAGGAGTTATTAAATTCAGTACATTCCATTTCTCCCATTTCGTCCGCTGTTTTGTTTTTCAGGCGTTGAGGTTGATTTACAACGGAGTACATCATCACGAGCAGCATTTAGCTCTGCAGAAATGCTTTCCAGTGATTCGACTGGGTCCGATTCACTTGTTTCACCATTCGAGTCATTCGATTCACAAACTGAAACGGACATTTTGTCGAGCTTTTCGTCAAGTCCTCCAAACAGTGAAGGCAGTAACAATAGTTCAGGCAAGCATTTTTCTGAACTTTTGCATCTGGATCCAAAGTGATAGTTGAAGCTACTTATTCATAAAACATCTTTAAAGAAATTTTTTACGGATTACTCAATCAAAGAACTAAGGGGAAACTTCTCATAGTGAAACTGAAGATGCAAACGTGCAATTATGTACTGATTTATTAAAAAATATTCATTTTTGTATTGGATGATAAGGTGATCTTCGGACGTATTAATATACCATCATTCACATCGTCATAAGGCTCATTTTTCACAGCTGCATTTCTCCACCAACCAATCTATGGTAGAGTTTTGAACAGACTACTGACACAATGACGGAGGAATGGTTTGAACTGTAAGCTGAGGGGAGTCTTGAGGTTTTGAATGTTTTATGCGGTGTTAAAAAATCTATTTAATATTGAAAAAACCGTTACCACGAGAAAAAGAAAGATAAGTAGCAGAATTTTTCAAAAAAAAATGTTTTGGCCAAATGTGTGCTAAATCACGAAGCAGCTACAGATCCATGGTGTGATCTAAGATGTGTTCGAAGCTGCCTGCTATACGCAGAAGATTGTTTTAGGAGCATGTGGATTAAATATATCGGCTCTGGTGAATATAAGGAGTCCAGCGAGTCCAGCAGCCTCGGAAGGAAGTCCATGTGCGAGCCCGCAACCGACAACATTTGGTGACGGCTGGCGAGCAAGTGACAATTCCGTGTTCCTCTCTTTGCATGATCCATTTCCCACTGGGCAACTAAGCAAAATGACCAAAGCTATGCACGAAATCTTCAGGTAAAGCTGCACATTTCATAATTTGAATGTTCATATGAGTGTTTGAAGATAGTTGCCTTTTGAATAAAAATGCTTGTTTTTTTTTGCAGACCTTCAACATCACAGGTTGATAAGCAGCTGCAGAAGCTTCGAATAACACCAGCAAAACCAGTAATAGAAAGGCGTCGTCACATGTTGGGTGCAGTGCCGAAGCGCATATCTCTCCCGGAAAACTTGGAATTTCAACCGCAAAAATTGCTGAACATTAAGCAGAGTATACACGTGGAGAAGCGATTAGGTGCTGTAACGCAAGAAGTCAATCCAGAAGCCAAATCCGCACTCAAAGTGCGCTTTAAGCAGAAGCAAATGAAAACTCGTATGCAACTATTTCGTCAGCAGGTTACTTCCAATACATTTACAACTGTCAGTTTTCTTCCGTAATTTTTTTCTTCATTTATGGAGGAATTGATGAATATTGGCATGTTACAAGGTGTCAGACCTGCCATTTGCGGCTTTTTGCTAATCCTTCTTTGCACAAATCAATTTAAGCGAAAAAAACCCAGGCTGGAACGCAGCAGGCGAGCCGGTGCGACCATGTGTTTTTGCATCAAACTTCGAGGTACTCCATCATTATTTCTCTGTCGTTGCCTCACCCCCTCCACTCACTGTTCTCGCCCCTTCCCCTTCCCCCGCACCCGCCCTGGATATCCATCTTCTCCAAGCGGTGATATTGTG